AAGTGAGAGAGAGAGAGAGAGAGAGAGAAAGTGAAAAAGGAAGCCGCCAGTTCTGGAACTTGAACTGCAGTCGGCCATGTGGGAGTCCAGACCCCTTAGCCACCATGCCACCTGCCAGCCCCTCTGGATTAAAAAAAAAAAAAAAAAAATTCATTACTTATTTTGGAGAGATTTTTGCTCTAGGGTACATGCACTCACTAAGGAAACAGACAGAAAGTGAGACATCACCCCCCAAGGGGGATGGCCATGCCATAATCCTTTCTTCTCCAGTCTCTGGATTTTGGGCACACATGAACATGTGCCTGGTGTGAATTTGAAGCTGCCAGGTCTAGGACTTGAACCATGGTCGACCACGTGGGAGCCCAGTGACGTAACCATTATACCATCTGCTGTCTCCCCATTGGGACTTTGCACATGTGCGTGCGTTCCCAGTGTGTCCCTCCAGCCATCTGGTCCAGGACTCAAAATCACACAATTCCACTGAGTTGGGATCCCGTTCCCCCATCACCGGACCACAGAGCCACCCAGTATTTTTCATTTAACCCAATAACCCAGTATCTAAAATATTGCCATTACCAATTTAAAACATTACCATCTGGGGCCAACTCCATGGCCTGGTAGGTGAACCCCAGGTGGTTGACCACCCTGTGGTTTGAGTCGTGGCCCCAGCTGCTTGAGAAACACGCCAGGAGCATGTGGACACATGCCCCAAATCCATTAAGGATGGAGAGCGGGAGGAGGCTGGACTACAGTATGACCACGCCCCACCGGGGTGCTTCCTCCTCCCCACCATTTCTTTCTCTCTGATGAGTGCATGCACCTTCTGCCAATTTTTTTTTTAAGAATTATTTTTTATTGGGACCAGCAGTTAGCATAATGGCCATGTCGCTGGACTCCCACGTAGTCGACCGCGTCCTGGACCCGGTGGCTTAAAACTCACGCCGGGCGTGTGTGCGTGCGTGCCCAAGATCCCAAAAGGAGAATGGAGGAGAAGGGATTGCGGCGTGACCATCCCCCCTGGGGGGTGATTTCTCTCTTTCTGTCTCTCTGTCTCTCTCTGTCTGGCGAGCGCACACGCCCTATAGTAAAAAACCTCTCCCCCACCCCCCCAAAAAGAATTATTTTTTATTTAACTTTATTTAGTTATTTATTTCCATTTTGACCAGAGAGGGGCTGGGGGGCAGGGGAGAGTGAGAAAGCAAGTTGCCAGGTCCAGGATCACAACCGTCGTTGGTCATGTGGGAATCCAGTGCCCGTAACCACTGCGCCACCTGCCAGCTCCAGCAAATTTATCTATTTTTAAATGTATTTATTTATTTATTTTTCCAATTTGACCAGAGAGGGAGAGAGAGAGAGAGAGAGAGAGAGAGAGCGCGCATGCGCAAACCTCCAGGTCCAGGACTTGAACTGCAGTCAGCCATGTGGGAGCCCAGTGCCCTTAACCACCATGCGATCTGCCAGCCCCAGCAAATTTATTTTTTAATTACCATTTCAACCTGCAACCGATCAATGTACAGGTGGAGCCATTTTACGTCTCGTATTACAGCTTTGAAATCCAGTACGGATTATGCCTGGCACATCTCAGTCCACTTCTGGGGCTCAGAGCCAGGGTGACCTGTGCTGCCGCGCCAGAAGGTGGAGGGCTCGGTGACACAGATGTTCCGTAACTTACAGCGGGGCTACGTGCCAGCAAGCCCTTCGGAAGTTGAAAGTATTGGAAGTTGAAATGCATTTAATGCACCTCGGCTCTAGACCATCAGAGCGCTGCCTGATCTCCAGGTGCTCAGAGCATTTGTGTTAGCCTGCAGCTGGGTAAGAGCATCGAATGCAAAGGCTTTTTTTTTTTTTTAAAGAATATTTATTTGGGGACAGCAGATGGCATAGTGGTTGCATAGCTGGACTCCTCCTGGCCAATTGTGGTTTGGGTCCCAGACACAGGGGCTTCAAAATCACACCAGGCGCATGTGCTGTGTAGCCAAGATCCCAGGAGGAGACGCTGGGAGAAGGAAGCGCAGCGTGGCCATGCCCCTGGGGCTGACTTCTCACTTTCCCTCTCACTGTCTCTGTCTCTCTCTTTCTAGTGAGTGCACATGCCCTAAGGCAAAAACCTCTTAAAATTATTTAATTTTCATTTATTATTTTTTAATTTTTTAATTTGCTGTGGGATATCTGTGTTCTCCAGAGAGAGAGAGAGAGTAAGAAAGCAAGCCACCAGGTCTGGGACTCAAACCACGGTCAACCACGTGGGAGTCCAGTACCTTAATCCCCATAGCACCTGCTGGCCTCACACAGACATCGTTTTCTAATTAAGTGTTGACCACCTCATGTACTTCACATTATTGACCCAGGAAAAGACTAAAATGCAAAATTTGAAACACCTCAAAACTGCAACAATTTCACACCATCGTAAAGTCAAAAAAATGATAAGTTGAACTGTCCTAAATTGGGCTCCTCTGTATAAAAGCATGAGGCTGGATTGAAATTATGAAGGGGTGCGTAGAGAAAAGGAGAGAAGACGTCCTCACATCCCCTTACCAGCCAAAGCTGAGGCCAAGCACGTGGGTTTATCCTGGGCCCCACAGCGGGTCAGAAAGCAGTGGGCCTGGGCCGTCGGAGAAGTCATGCTGTAGTTTTTCTACGCAAAAATAGGCCATGACTGGGACCAGCAGTTAGCATAATGGCTATGTCGCTGGACTCCCTGTAGTCAACTGCGGTTCGAGTCCCGGGTTAAACTCAGGCCAGGCGCGTGTGCGTGCGTGCCAAAGATCCCGAGAGGAGAATGGAGGAGAAGGGATTGTGGCGTGGCCATCCCCCCTGGGGGTGATTTCCTGCTTTCTGTCTCTTTGTCTCTGTCTCTCTCTGTCTGGCAAGCGCACACGCCCTATAACAAAAACCTCTCAAAAAAAAAAATAGGACATGACTTTTCCAATGACCCAATAAATGCAGGATCTCAGGCCACGGACTGGCCCAGGGGCCCCTGAGAGACAGCTGGCCTTGGTTATTCCTGGGAAGTGAAAGGCGCTTCCTCAGCCTTCTGGAAGCTGCAGTTGGGGCGGCTTGCTGGGTGCCCCCCACCCGCAGTGTCTCTCTCCTCAGATGGGTCTCTGCTGGAACAGCTGGTCACTCTGAGGGGGAAAGTGATCAAGGAACTCAAGAGAGCTTTAAGAGCCTATGAATTAAAAGGTGCGTCTCTCTCCACCCAGCCCGGCTCCCTGGCCTAATGACCTCTCCATCCCCCGCTCCCCTTTTCTCCCAATTCCTCCTCCAGCTCGGCCAAAACTCAGCCTTCTCCCTCTCTCTCCAGTCTTCCTTTCTCTCCTTCCCCAGACTCGCCCCTCCTTCCCTCCATCTCCCGGTCCCTTCCCAATTAGACTCCAAAATTGCTGCCATCACTCACCTCCGCTTCTTTCTCTTGCAGCCTGCGATCGCAAAATCTGCCGTGAGTCCTGGATTTATTGTCTGTCCCTCCCGTCTGTCCTTGTCACCCCAAAGCAAGCCCTGCAGTCCCCCACTCCAGAGCTACTGTCCCTGTGGCTTTGTTTTGTCTTTTGTACTAGAGACAGAGGGAGAAGAAAACGCACCCCATGAAAAATGGTCCTGCCACGATCCCTTCTCTCCGTCTCTCCCTCCTTTCGGGATTTGGGCATGCACAGCCAGCGTGAGGGATTCAGTGCCTCAGGCACCAGGCCATGGAGTTGGCCTACCTTTGCTATTTTTTTTTTTTTTTTAAGAATTGTTTTATTTGGGACCAGCAGTTGGCATAATGGCTATGTCACTGGACTCCCATGTAGTCAGTTGATCATGGTTCGAGTCCTGGATCCAGTGGTTTAAACTCACGCCGGGTGCATGTGCATGCGTGCCTAAGATCCCCAGAGGAAAATGGAGGAGAAGGGATTGCGGCATGGCCATACCCCCTGGGAGGTGATTTCTTGCTTTTTCTCTGCCTCTCTCTCTCTCTGTCTTTCTGGCGAGCGCATGCACCCTATAGCAAAAACCTCTCAAAAAAAAAAAAGTATTTATTTAATTTAATTTATGATTATTAGTATTTTTAACCAGAGAGAGAGACAGACAGAGAGGGAAAGTGAGAAAAGCAAGCTGCCAGGTCCAGGACTCAAACCATGGTCACTCATGTGGGAGTCCAGTACCTTAACCGTCATGCTAACTGATGGCCCCCACCCTGCTCACTTTTTATTGACCAAAACTAGGTCACTTGGAAATGTAATCTACTGGGGGCACAGTTCCAAAATAGGGAAAGTACAAACTCAAATTTAACTATGTTTCTTTTTTTTTTGAGAGAGAGAATTTTTTGTTATAAGGCACGTGCACTCACCAGAGAGAAAGCAAGAAATCACCACACCACCACCCCCACCCGCCCAGGAGGATGGCCATGCCACAATCTCTTCTCCTCCATCTTACTCTTGGGATTTTGAGCACGCATGCACATGGGCCTGGCATGAGTTTTAAGCCGCCGGGTCTGGGACTTGAACCACAGTCAGCTGCATGGGAGTCCAGCGACCTAACCATTGCACCACCTGCTGGTCCCAACGATGTTTAATTAAACGTCTACCAACAGAATACTGGGTCAACTAGACTACTGCAACTCAAGTTAACACTTCCTTAATTACAAACACATTTTTCCATGTGAATTGTCCGTGCGTTTTGGTCAGCTTGCCCTGCTGTGCAGCGGGACCGCACAATGTAGAGAGCAAAGGTGCCACCATCTCCCCCCTTCTCACCCCTCCCCGGTCCGATACCTGTCATTATCCTCCTCCTCCCTCTCCTGTCTAGGCTTGCTCAAAGAAGAGGTCTTAGACTGTTCGCGTTGCCAGAAGATCAGCCCCAAATGTATCCGGACGAAGTACTGCTTTGGTAAGTTGCTCGGAGTGGGGAGACGTGGAAAACGAGCACAAGGGAAAGACAGCCTTGACTTGGTGGATAGGGGTTTCGTTCGTTTGTTTTAAAAACTATTTTATTTGACTTTATTGATTTATTTATTTTAATTTGACCAGAGAGGGACAGAAAAAGAGAGAGACAAAGCAAGAAAGCAAGCCACCAGGTCCAAAACTCAGACCGCGGATGGCCGTATGGGAGTCCCGCACCCTTAACCACCACGCCACCAGCTGGCCCCATGTTTGTTTGTTTTTAAAGAGTTTTTTGCCTTAGGGCATGTGCACTTGTCAGAGAGAGAGAAGCAGAGACAATGAAAGGGAAAGTAAGAAATCACCCCCCAGGGGGGATGGCCATACTGTAATCCCTTCTCCTCTGTTTTCCTTCCAGGGTTTTGGGCACATATACACATGTGTCCGGTGTGATTTCAAAGCCACTAGGTCTGGGACTTAAACTGTGGCCAGCCAGGTGAGAGTCCAGTGCCTTAACCACCATGCCACCTGCTGGTCCCTCTCATAGTATCTTAAATTGCCGGCATCACCCAGCTTCATTCACACAGCTCGGACTTCTACAAAGAAGGACGTTTTCCTACATAATCATGAGGCAGTTCTCACACCCAACAAACAACAATAATCCCCCACTATTGAGTAATTCCAAGTCCTTTTAGCAACTTTACTAATTGACCCCAGGGTATTTTTTATAGCTGATTTTTTTTAGAGGTTTTTGCTATAGGGCGCATGCACTCGCCAGACAGAGAGAGACAGAGAGACAGAAAGCGAGAAATCACCCCCCAGGGGGGATGGTCACGCCGCAAT